TATCTGCTTCTCCACGTATTTGAGTGTTAGTCTTAGTCCTGGAATTACGGCCTCATACTCGGCCTTATTGTTAGTCATGATCGGGCATCTTATGGACTGGCGAATCAATTTGCCTGTTGGGACTTCGAGTACGAGTCCTAGCCAGGACCCCGACGCGTTAGATGCACCGTCAGTGTATAGGACCCAGAGGTCGTGTATTTGGGAAGAAGTGTGGATGGCTTCCTTTTTGACTTCGGGTAGTATGTGTGCACTGAAGTTGGCGAGGACCTGAGACTTTATCGTCGTTCGCTGCCAATCTGCCAAAAAGTTCGATTTTGTGTAAAATGCTATTTAAGGGGAAAGTCGTGACGACCCAGATGGGGTAGCATTGGAAATACGGTCTACGTTTCCATGAATCTATGACTAAGGTCAGAGCCAGATTTTCAATATGGGGGTACCTCGTCTTGGAGTCGACTAGTGTTTTGCTAATGTAATAGATGGGAGATTGCGTACCTTTATTTTCTTGCACTAAGACTACGCTCACAGCTACTTCGAACACGACGAGATAGATGAGAAGAGGTTGTCCTGGTTCCGGTTTCGAGAGCAACGACGGCGAGGATATGTACACCTTTAACTCCTTAAGTGCTTGGACGCACTCAGGGGTCCATTGGAGGCCGTTCTCCCTTTTTAGTACGCCGAAGAACTTGTGGCACCTATCGGAGGATCGTGAAATGAACCTTGACAGAGCGACTATTCGGCCGGTTAGCTTCAGGACTTGATTTTTGGTTGTCAAGTGCTATGGTATACCCGCGATGGCCTTAATATGGTCGGGGTTGACCTCGATATCCCTGCGACACTAGGAAACCCAAGAATTTCCCTGAGGCCACGCCGAATGCACATTTCTCGGGGTTCAGTTTCATGCCGTATTGCCTGAGTATGCCGAATGCTTCTCTTAGGTGGTCAATGTTATCTTCTTTCTTTTTGGACTTGACCAACATGTCATCGATGTATACCTCTATCGTTTTTCCAAGTTGTTTTTTGAACATCCTCGTCACTAGCCTTTGGTAAGTTACCCTCGCGTTTTTCAACCCGAAAGGCATGACCCTATAGCAGTACGTCCCCTCGTGGGTGACGAAGGTGGTCTTTTCCTAGTCTTATTCCGCCATAAGTATCTGGTTATAGCCCGAGTAGGCATCCAAGAAACTTAGCAAGTCGTGCTCCGTTGTCGCGTCGATAAAGTGGTTGATGTGGGGCAATAGGAATGAGTCCTTAGGGCAGACTTTGTTAAGGTCGGTGAAGTCTACACATCCGCCATTTACCATTCTTCTTTTTCACCATGACCACGTTAGTGACCCATTGGGGGTACTTTGGCTCCCTGATGGAGCCATTTTCCAGTAGTTTTTCCATTTCTTTGCGTACTGCGTTATTGATTGCGAGGTTGAACTTATGTCGAACCTGCCTTACCGGGGGTAGAGTGGATCGACGTTCAATCTGTGTGTGGAGGTCTCCTTTGGGATACTTGGCATATCTGCATGTCTAAAAGCAAACAAGTCCGCGTTAACAATTAGAAATTTATGAAACTTACTCGGTTCTTAGAGTTTGTAGCCCATGTAAACCTTCTTGATATGGTCATTGACATCTAGCTGAACGGGGTCGAGGTCCTCTATGGTCGATCCTACATCTTCAGCCATATCAGGGTCTCTGATGATATCCTCAATATCGTCGCCTACCGACCTCGACCCTATTGATTGCTATGCTTTCTACTCTTTGTCTCTCATTTGTTGGGTGGTCGTGCAGTCTAGGCGATGCGATAGTACTCTTAGGATGTGTGTTGTTCCCCGCTTATGCTGAATATGCCTTATGGAGTTGGGAATTTTATGACTTGGTATAAGCTATAGGGTATGGCCCTTATGGTGTGTATCCACGATCGCCCTATTATGGCGTTGTATGTCGTGTCCTGGTCCATAAAGTGGAATATGGTCTCTAGAGTGACGCCACCCGCCAGGACGGGGAGTGTGATCTCGCCAGATGTTCGTTCAACTACATTGTTAAATCCTGCTAGTGTGATGCAGCGTGATACTATCTTATCCTCGAGTTTCATTTGTGTAAGTACTCGGGGATGGATAATACACGCGCCACTTCCGTCATCTACCATAATCCGTCTTACGTCGGTATCTAAAATTCGTAAAGTAATAATAAGAGCGTCATAGTATGGGAATGCCAAACCGTTGGTATCTGACTTATCGAATATGATACTTTCTTCGAGTTTATCATACTGTTCATGGGTGATCGACCGTTTGAGCTTGTGGGTCGTGGTGAACTTCACGTTGTTGATGGAAGCGTCGTCTCCTCTGCCGATGATCATGTGGATGGTGCGGGCTGGCAAGGGCGGCTTCGGCGGCCCTTGATGTTGTTCGCATTCTCTGGCAAAGTTGGTTCTTCCCCGATGGCTCAACAATTTTTTGAGGTGTCCTTGTCGCAACATGTTTACGACCTCATGTTTAGGGCGATGCAATCTTCGGTTTTATGTCCTCACTCTTTATGGAACTTGCAAATGACGTATAATTTTCTGGTATTCAGGTCTGACCTCATTTTTTGTGGCCACTTTACCTTTGGTCCGAGCTTCTCCAAGGCGTAGACGATCTCTGTAGGTGACACACAAAAATTGTGAGCGGATAATAAATGGGCATACCTCTTTCATTCCGGTGAGTCCCTATTCTGGATTGATGTGGGCCTTCTTCATGGCGAGGTGAGGATACAACGGTAGTTTTGACATATGGGATATGTCGTTCCCGGTTCGGCCTTGAGGTCGCCGGATCTCTTCTGATATCACTTATCCGATCTTTTCTTGATTCTTCTTATACTGAGGTCAGTTGATGAGTCTGTCCATTGAGGTCTTCGTCTGCTCGTACTTCGGCATAATATGCATTATGAATTTCATCCCAAGTTGTTATTGGGGGGGGG